TTATCTGCATTGAGGAACACAGCTTACTTTAACCCAACACATAGAACAGATCGTGGGCTGATAGGATCATAGTGGTATCTTAACAGCTGAAAATACAAACCATTGCGCGCCACTACCCCCTTCTGATGTGCGCAAGATTAATCTGGAGTGTTTTGTAACTCCGGCCACATGGTGGCAGTGTTGTGACGGGTTAGTTCACCGCGTGCATGTTTGACAGGAGTTAGTGTCTGGTCTGAAGTCAGTTGGTCTGTCTGTGTCCGCTTTTTTTTTTTTTTTTTGCCAGCACAGCACAGGACTTAAAAGCGTTTACCAAGATCACGTCAGACCTCCAGTGTGTAGTATGTGGGTCTGCTTGCGTGTATTTCTGTGCTGGTGAGGACGTCTAACAGAATATTGGTACGTATGAACGCAAATACGTGTACGTCTGTACAGATTTTTTGCTTTGGGAAAACTTTTAGCACCTCTACGTAAACGATTGACTCCCTGTTATCTGACCTTCTCTAAATTAATGTGAAGGGTTAGACTTGCCACGCCTTAATAACTATTCTGAATCTCTCCATTCACGAACTCCTCTGTGACCGTTCGTTAAAGTCACCATGTATCTAAATCTACAATTCTTTTTTTATCATGGATTATTGTAGTGTTAATGCTTTATCCTTGCAAGTCATTTTTAAATTCATGTGCCCTCGTAATCTTTAATCAAAATAACTTCCCTGACATCTCTTCTCTGATGACGTGTTTACTGGCGCGAGGGCGGGACAACCTGTCACTCACATGACATCACAACAATGGCAAACCAATCAATACCAGATGGACAAAATCAAGTCCTGCCCTACATTTGTTCTTGTTCTATAAGCCGTTTAATTCAAATATATGTCACAATAGAAAAAAAAGATTGTAATTTCTGTTTCATGTCAGCTTTAAACTAATGCCTTATTAATTAATTTCTGAATATAGTCTCCATTCACGCCTCCCTCTATCCGTGACTCTTCCTTAAACTTCCCTGCTTGCGTTTATCTTTTTCTCCCTGTCGCCATGGACACGTGTGGGTGTTGCATATCATCTCTACTTGCTGTTTCTGTGTTATATGTTGTAGCAACCAAACCAAGTCACAGTATACTACACAGATCTTTCTTCTTTTCTCTCTCTCCCTCTCTCTCTTTCTTTCTCTAAAGGTCCAGTTGCTAGGTAACAGTTAATTGTCAAGAAATAGTTACATGTGTTGCAATGTATTCTGTGATTGGCTGCTTGAAGAAAACGTGTAAGTGAAAGAGAGAGAGAGAAAAGGGAATGAAAAAGACTGGGGGAGTAAGACAGGAATAGAAAGAGTAGGTTTGTGAAATATTGAATCGCAAATGGTTTTAAAAATAAAAAGCTATTACTTTAAAAATAAACAGCATGTATGACATTCTCATGATTAAAAACAGCTCTTGCACACAGGAATCAATAATCAGAATGATATGTTTGACATGACTCGATAGGTACAGAAAAGAGCGATAAGTACTTTGCTTGCAATTTGTTCATGATGCAGTGAATCAGACGTATCCAGGGCAACACCAGTGGATAATAAGCTCTCTTTCACGTTTCATGTACATTATGTCACAAATCAAACCTAAGCTTGTGTAGAGCACATAAGAAACGAAGGAAAATTTGTCCCACAATTTTAATATTAACAACATGAAAACCAAATGAGATTCATATTTGGAACATGATGATGACACTGGGGGGGAAAAAAAGGGAGTGTCACCATTTCCTCTCAGATTCTCGCAGCTGGAAATGTATGGAAAAAGACAGAAGGACTATAAAGCTTGAGATCTCTCCCTTTTATTTTGTTTTTAGTCAACACTGTTTTGTACAAAGAGACAGAAGAATATATCTTAGCACTTTTCACACTGTGTCTGTATTCTCAATAGCTTAAGTATTGTGAAATGTCTCATTAAATTATTATTGTAGCCATAACACATGTAATCTCTCTCTATACAAAAACAGAAAAAAGAAACCATTTTTTGTCATATTTACAGAATCTGTACAATTGTGATCCATAAGTAAGATTTAAAATAAGTGGTTAAAATACAAGAAAGACAGAATTAAAGACAACGGTGTAAATTTGTGTCTTAAATTCTGGTTCTCGGATGCTATTAGAATGGCACTGTGCTCCTGGTCCAGTGGTCTAATAACTTTTTCCCCATGTGGCTATAAAAAATCTTCCAGACAAAAATGTATCTCAAACTTTAATATTTTAAATATTTGTCTTCATATATTAAAAGGCTATGGAAAGGGGACATAATTATTTACAGCAGACATAATAGATAACCATTGCACTGTGCTCTGTTTTCTTCTCTCTCTCTCACACACACACACACACACACGCACACACACAAACACCTGTGCGCACACATGCCCACTCTCACACAGAGGTAATCAAGCATATGATTTCAGATACACGTACAATCATATGTGACGTACCTTACTGGGGAGGGCTCTAAAATGACAAACCAATAAAATAGAGTCAAACTACTGAAGTCTTATTCTACCAGTCATCAAGAAAATTTAAATGAGAATAGGTAAAATGAGAATGATTGAGAAGAGAAATAAAACACTGTAACGACACAGAACATTGGCTACTGTTCCTCCTGTCCTCTTCCGCCCATCTCCATTGTTTATTTTGCGTCTCACACTAAACCTGTATTTATCAAATGATATTAGCATGCTTTTACAAGGCCACATCTTTAAAATCGAAATGAAATATAAAATCGGAAAGCTTTTCAGGAAGAGCAAAGGCAAATGTCCCTGACACTCGCACACACAATCACACAAAACTTCCTCTACATACTGTGGTATACTACTAAAAACTATAGGCTTGACTCTCCAGTACAAACACAGAGATTGACAGGAAATGCAATGGTCAAAGTCTGTCAACACATCTCTTGCTCTTAAAAAATGCCACACTGTTATGAGATATCTTATGAGATATCTTTAAAGGATTTACTAAATAAAAGAAAAAAGTAGACCAAGCATAAAAAAAATCTTAAGGGTACTTTAAAAAAAAAAAGGTAACATGCAAAGAAAGGTATCGTGAGAGCAAGTGAGAAAATATTGTGCGACAAAAAAATGGCAAAATTAGCTTTGGACACAAAAATGGTCATCTCCTTACCTAATAGCAATGTTCTGACAAAATCTAGCATTATCACCAAGATTTGGGTTTGCCTGATAATTTCCCTAACGAGGTATTATTCCATACATATCCATTTTTCAAAGATCTTATCAGTTCATTAGAATCAGCACATCTATTGAATCACCCTGAACCTGTATGATGCACAGTTTATCAACATATTGCAAGAACAAGAGCAGGCATGATATCTAAATAGACATAAATGTATGAAAGATATGGCAATAAATAAGTAAAAGACATGCATGCTCATCTTAAACACAAACTCTCACAAAAAAGACAACCGAGTCAAATAAGAATGGCAAAAGTTAAGATAAAAATTCACAAATTGATAGCTATACATCAAAACCAAATATTATAAATATTGTGCTTAAAGTGGAGATCTGTTTGGCTAACAGTTCATTCACAAAGAAAATGTATACACAAAATTTGCAATAAACACAACTAACTTCAAGTAAAGGATTTTTAGTGTGGGCCAAAAGTAAAAAAAAGACAATGTGATCAGACTGCCCTGTCATGAGTTCATTTGTGGTTTCGAAAATGATGAAAAAAAGTTAATAAATGCTTGCAACGAACCTCACGTTTATCCAATTAAATGAGTTCACTTGTTTATTGATTTATGTAATTAGGCAATTTAGCTAAATGATATGTTTGTTTTTGCCTGTGCCCATCCAAAATTCCTGAGATATACCTCTACTTCATAAGTGGGTATTAAAACTGCAAATTAACTTTAAATGGTTAGGGTACTTTAAATAACTGGAGTCATCCCTACCATTATCATGTATTAAGTTGTTAAAAAAAGGTCTAAAGCGAATATAACGAAAATATCTAGAAAATTTCACTTCTGCTATACAGGTGCAGTAAAGGATTGTATTAGCCTGGACAGCGATAGGGAGGATATAGAAAAATTCTTTATGTTTATCCATACCAATGAGTTTTAACTGATACATTTTGCAGCAAAGTTGGATTGTTAACCTTCACTCAAATTCTTAAAATATCTAACAAATATGGTAAAACATAAATCTGTAGAGTTACATCCTTTCTGTCTATTCACTGTACAAAGTGGGGAAAAAAAATGAATATTTACATAACAAAATGCAAGCATTTGCTGAGAATCTTGCAAAACCCTACATACTGTGCACTGGTGTCTCCCTAAGGAAAGTACAGATAAGCATATCCAATACTAACTGCATTCTAGGAGGAAACAAATCCATGACACAGTTGTTATTTTACTGCGTGATCAAAGACTTCCTAAGAAATGGGGGACAGTGGAGAAAAAAAAATTCAGTTGATTTTTGTTTCTATATTGTAGATAACATCATACAACTGCAGCTCAACTCTCAGGGAGGATACTATGCACTGTACAATGTTGTGCAAACCTCAAATATCCTACGTTCCTATTATTAGAACTTGTCAGAATGATAATTTAACTGGTTTTCTTTAGAACCAAGTTCTCGATATTAATATTATGAACACATTCAGGCTACTTTACGTCTCCTCACTGCTGGATATTCCATATCAGTGCTTATATCATTAAAAGGAAGGTTCCAGAATAATATGAATCATCCCATGACAAATCTGTGTGCAGTGACCAGAAAGTTACCATGGCAATATGACCTGTAAATCTGGTATTCTGTAAGTCTTGGTAAGGCACATAACGTGCTGTGTATTAAACCAATATTTTTCTATCAAACGGAACATTATAAAATAAGGTGAAAAGAATACATTTCCTTCACAATGATATCTCAAGTACAGCTGAAGTACTTTGCGAATCATGCCTTGTACACACATTTTACAGCACTCCATACTGGTAAAATAAACTTGAATAACCAATAATAAAGAACCTTTATGGAATCCACATTTGTCTACAACTCAATTAACAATCAAATTAGGTCAATTGACAAATCAAATAAGCCTCCCGCAAAGTGGTTTGTTAACCAAGAACTGAAACTACAGTACAAATATATAACAGCATAAAACATCCAGAAACCAAGCCCAAATGGAACATCATAAACATTGTAATAATATATAATAATATTATTATCAAGAACATTATCAATACAATTATTGTAAGTTTTACCCTGTTGTTTAAAAAGATTAACTGATTTCCATCCACAATTGTACAAAGGATTGTACACGGTTGTCTCCATCTGGATCGGCCACTATTTTGATGTTAGGAGCAGAGAAATAGTGGAATATACAAAAAAAACCATGAGAATAAAAGAGAGGAATAAACAGGTTTTCCCCTTAATCTCAACTTTTCAACAGTGGGAAGGTCCCCTCTCTATTTACATACGTACGCTTGGCAGCACATGATCCGCGTAACTTAATGAAAGCATGAGTCAGTTCCTTATACACGGTTTCCTCTTCTTCTTTTTGTGGGCATGAAGGTACTAATTACACACTGTCTTTTCAGTTGTCTCTCATTCATCATTCCACATGTCCGTTGGCTTCTTTTCCATATTTCTATCTGCTTCTGACTCCCATCTTCAGACATCAGACTCTATACTGGAAAGCTTCTCATAAACATGTCCGTTGCTCGATCCATTAAACGGTCTCTGTCCTTGACCCATTCCTAACCCATCCCTTGCTGACAGCAGCTTGTTGTTGCTAGGTCCTCCACCGTGGTGGTTGCCAAGAGGCCCGCCCAGACATAGCTCCTTGGGGAAGCGAGGGGCCACATTGGACAGCACCCCAGAAGTTGCGGAAGCAGGCAAATAGGAAGTCACCCCCATGGAGCCCCGGAAGTCAGCCCGATTGTTGTTGAGGAGCTGTTGCTGCTGCTGCTGTTGTGGCGTCTGTTGCTGCTGCGGCTGTGTCTGCTGCTTTTTGATGTAGTATGATTTGGCGCCGTGTAATAGACACTGGTCGTCGCCGAAGGTTGGGATGAATGGGTTCTGGTTCACCTTATCTGGGTAGAGAGATTTAGACAAGGAGTAAGTCCCGACCCCTCGGGTACCGCCCACACCTCCTCCCATCATGCCTCTATCCCTGTCCCTCATGTCTCTCTCACCCACGGAGCGACGGTGCAACCCACCTTCACCCCCACGAAATAAGCTAAATGATGAACCCCCACCCTTCCCTCTGTCCCCAAAATATGTTGTCTCCCGCTCCCCTCCCGCATACTGCTCAAACATCTGGGCGTAGGGGCTTGCGCCCTCCATGTAGCGGTCTTTGTCTTTTAGGCTCACGCTTCGGGGTGGAGGAAGCATTGACGCTCCACCACTGCCTCCAAACCCACCCATCCTGCCCGCCCCTTCCTTCTGCAGCTCTACAAACGTGTCATAAGAGTGCTGCCTGCGCAAAACCTTACCACCTGGGCCAAATTTCCGCCTCTGTACCTGGGTTTGGGCCCCTGTGCCTCCCCCTCCCTTTCCGCTCTCCAGAGGGTGCTTGCCCCCAATTTGATCCAAGAGGAGGTGGTTGTCCTCACTGATGTCATATAAGTTGCCCGGTTTCTTGCACGAATCACACCGCTTGCAGGAGGCGGAACTAGGGCGACTTGAGATTTGTCCACTCCCACCACTGGATCCCCCAACTCCCCCAGCAGCTGGATAGGCCCCGGCCCCGCCTCCCCCATGCATGCAAACTGGCTTGCTTCCTCCACTTCCAACCCCTCCACTGTGGCAATTGCGACATTCCCAATCCCCTCCAGCCAACCCTCCCACCCCTCCGATGCCCTTTTCCCAGCATGCATGGCCCTGTTGCCCAGGTGATCCTCCTCCCATTCCACCCTTACATTCTGTCTTCTTAGATTTACCTTTCAGGAAATCTTCAATGGGAACCAAACTAGTGCACGCTCCCCCAGCACCACCGCTACTAACTACTCCACCGCAACCACCTCCGCCCAGTCCCACTCCTCCACCCATTCCTGGAGCATCACTTAAATCCAAATGTTCCCATGGAGATGCCCCTTCCTTGGCTCGAAACTGATCCACATAGAAGTCCCTCAAATTATCTTTGTCTCTGAACAGATAGGAGGTGCCGTTACCACCTCTCTGGCTCTTGCGCTCCACGGGTGGGGTGGCTGAGCGGTGTGCTTGTGTTGCTGGATGATGGTGGTGATGATGGATAGTGTGGTGGGGGCGTCTCCTGAATCCAAGCTCAATCTCATCCTGCTCACGGCGAGACTTGGCAGAAGCGGGTCTCTTTTTTAGGCTGTCCCTGTACTGCTTGCGCCGTTTGCCGTGCCCTTCGAGGTTCCCGTAGGTCACGGTGTGAGTGGAAATATCAGACACGTCGGATCGAATGTTTCCATCATCCCCTCCCGATCCCACCCCACCTCCCCCACAGTACCTGTCATGTCCTGCTATAAAACCTGAACTGGATGCCCCACCCTTGAAGGAGAACTTTCCGTATAGATCAGGCAGGCCAGACTTGAAGCTTGACTGGGTTGGGTGACCTGCAATCAGGTCAAACTTTTCCCTGTTCCGATGTGTCAGCGACTGCCGTGGCTGGGTGGTGAAGATGGGCGCTACCCCTCCCCCTAAGCTGTCACAATCGTACCCACCCTCCAATGAACTGGCACTCCCTAAGCTACGAGGTCGGTTAGGCAGGGGACCCGACATACCGAGAGCCAGTTCGGATCCCGTGCCCCCATGGTGGTGTAGGTAATGATCCTGGTACAGGTTGCTGTCCTTCAGGTGCAAGTTCCCAAAAGTCCTCTCCACCTCGCTTACATAGTCGCTGAACATGTTGTCCTCTGGCAGGTACGGTGGAGGCTTGCAGTCTGTGTGGCCTACTAGGCTGCGCCGGTGTTCACTGATGTCATAAACGGCTGACTCACGATGGCTGTAGTCCAATGCGCTGAGGGGTGAACCATTGACCCCAGGCACAGAGGTCATGTTTTTGGCAGTACGCAACAAACGAAGAATGTTGGAGTGGGTGTTGTTCATGTTCATGTTCATAGTGGCTGATGGTGAGTCAAGGGCTGATTTGTTCTCTTCAATCTGAACACCATGGATGCAACTGTAGATGCCCTGTTGGACAGATAGAAATGAGGGAAAGCAAAAACAAAGGAAAAGAGAAGAAGAAACAAACAATGTGGGATTAGATTTGTTTAATGAAAAGTTTAATTAGCAGCAAACATGTTCACAATTCTGATGCAAAGTTCAAGTCAAACCTTTCAAGGCTACGTCTAAGTCAAGTCCTTGTAGTTTCTATAGTTTTTAAGTATTTATGTTTTCAAATTAGTTTTGTAATTACTGTTCTGACAGTCATCTTTTTGCTGTAGTTTAGTTTTATAAAGCCTTCTGGAGGAAAAATAATTATTATACATTTTAAAAACTTATTTCAGGGATTTTATTTTATCACGTTATGTTTAAAATGAACAGTTTATCCATCACTGTCTTGAGATTATAAATACAAGAAGAGAAAAGGGAAAATGAGGGAGTCATAAAGAATTGAAAGGAGAGAGAGAAAAACAGAATGGAATTAGTTCAAGAAAGAGAAACAGCAGGGGCGAAAGAGGTTGTGATTGATGATGACATGGTGACAGGGTTGCGGTAACTGTGGTTTTGACTGTCTATCAATGTCTTCAATCAATGTGATTAAAATTCAGCTGACACCACTGTGTCTACTCATCTGTGTCTCTCCTTCATCACTGCCACGACAAATTAATTACACAATATTCTAATAAACCTCTCCAGCTCATTCACCATGATGCAGATTTACTGCATTTTAATCCATTTATCTGTGTAGTTTTGGCTGTATTTTATCAAACTCATTTCTTAATGGCAAATGTGTTATTGTGAGACTGGATGGGAGTCAAAATACTTCATTATCTTTTATACTGTTATATTCAGACTAATAAATGTTGAGATGCACTATACTGGAATGTCTTATGGGCCCGCCGGCGGGCCCATTTGCCATTGCATGTTTAAAACAATAATATCTTAGTAAAAACCTAAAGTAATATTGCCAAACTATATATCATTTGAAAGCTTAAAATCTCTAGTTTTCATATTTGGTGGCTGTTATCTAAAATATATTACAGAGGAGCAGAAATTTATCAATTTGCAACAAGAATATTTCATATTCATTAGGAGTATTTAGGCCTTTATTTTGAAATAACAATAAACATGAAAAATCATGAAAGATTGGTAGAAACCTCAGTTTGTTTTCATGCCATGAGTTCAAAAGATAACACCAATTCCATTTTATGAGAAAAAAAGGTCTGAAAATGTTTTAAATATAAAGAAAAATGTATGGATTCTCGATTTGTAATGCGGCTGCGAGCTATAACGCTATAACGTAGTCTTTATGCATTTATTAGAGGTTTAATTCAAATCAAATACTGCCAAACCACCCCTACTACTTCTGAATAGGATGTCTACTTCATAAATTGTATGAAAATTATGGAAATACATGGTTCAGATCACTCAAAACATATGAAAATGGAGGCGCCCTTCTATGGGCAGTAATGGAGTCTGGTGTTCACCTAGTGAAAAAGTTGGGTACTGCGCCCGAATAAAATCTTACTGAAAGCTCATTTTTTGAGATATCAACCTAAAATTTGGAATACAACTTGTTCAGATATTTGACTTTATTTTTCTTGCAGTTTTAGAGTAAAATAAATTTTGTAATATATATATTTTATATAAAATATTAATCATTATATTTTTACATTACACAATTTCATAAACTCAAACTTATATAACTTTTTTTCTGTTTCATTTTTTACAATTTCTGGACTTCTACAATAATCTGGAAAATGTCTTCTTTAAAACAAGACCAGCCATAGGTCTATATTCCAAAGCATTCCTGAATTACAACCATTTAAGTTTGGATAGTGATTTTTATGTCTATGCAAAAAAAAGGGGGGTGCCAGTTAACAGGTTAAAAGTATTTATATATATATATATATATATATATTTAAACCATATAAAACCTTTTCATAACAAATAATACATGAAACACATGTGGAACAAATAGAATTCTCCTCAAAACATTTCAAAGGCTAAAGGTTACTCTTCTACTGGCGATCTGTCCCTCCAGTGAGGCAACATGTCAGAAATGTTTCCTGTCTCGCTCTTAGTCACGCTTGGTGTCTATCCACCACTCTTGTGTATTTTTTCCCTCTTCTCTTTATGTTCCTCTTATCTCCACTACCTTCTGTCTTTTTTTAAACTCAGGTCATCCTTCCCAGTGTGACTCTTATTCTCATTCATCTCCTGACCCTTCAATCCGATTGGCTTGGAACATATTCTCTATTCAGTGTTATCTCATTTCTTTTTCTCTTTCCGTCTTTCTCTTGAGAGGTTCCATTCTCTCCCATTTTGTCTTTTGCTTTTTTCCCTCTATTCATTTTAGATTCTTCTTACCCCCACCACAGCAACACACGCATCTACATCTCAAAGGGAAATATATCTAGTAAGAAAATCAGTTTCCTGTGTCTGTACTTGTATCTGAGGAAACTGGTCATGCAAACTGCCCTGTTGGCTAACAAACCAATATAGTAATAGTTTTTCCGGTTAGCCTCAATAATTTGTGAACTCAGGTAAAGCCAGGTTTATCTTTGAGCCACTTGCCAATTTGGTCAGATTAACTGATATTTACTCCCTCTTTGTTCATCCCAGACATTATGTGGGTCATGGCACCACTCCAAATTGCTTGAGGCATGATTTGATGTCCGAATGTCTAGAATGAGAGACTGCTGCTTTGGCCTGTTAGCTCAAGATCAAGGTTTTGATTTATAAATACTGCATATGCACAAAATGGGCACTGAACGTGTTTGCCCTTTACCCCACACACATCAGAATGAAACGAAACAGAATGTACCCTTTTTGCATAATATACCACATTTATCACAATTATACAAATTCAGTACAAAACTCAATAAATGTACAAAATATATATAAAAAAAAAAAAAACTGAAATCAAATGTAATCATCATCCAAAAGTTTCAGTCTTGAGATCTAATGCTTCTAATGTAAAGGAAATGCTTACACTTTTCACTTTTTCTTTTTACACAGCAAAATCATTTTCTTAATCAGTGTATTTGTGTTGTTTCCAGTAAAAATCCTTAAAGTCCTTAAAACACTAAAATTCACTCAAAAGCCAAAAAGAGCCAATTGCATAAAGTTAAGTTTGTGCTTTAAGGTATTAAAATCATTAAAACTTACATTCAAGAAACATTTATTGAAAACACATCTTAATATTTCTCAGGAAAATTTCTCGTTTTAAAGTTGGCATGAAATGGAAATTCACCCTATTTTCTAAATGCATGTAATAGATCTTACCGTGCATATGTAAAAAATAAAATAAAAATTAATATAATCTTTTTTTCTTTTTTTTTGACCAATCAAAATGTCGTGAAAATGACGAGACTTCATGATGCGTTCACGCCCTGTCATAATTATCATAGGCTTGAGATGACTACACGTGACGTTCTATTCAGAGCTGTTCACGTCCTCGGACCTGGAATTATGCTTTTCTATGGTGACACTATCAATGGCTTAACGAATCTGCAGCGGTCAGCTGGTACAGCATTCACGTGGTACAAATAGGAGCTCTCAGAACAGTCCCATCTTACAAGCTGAAATTACGAGCTCTAAAAGGAAGTGAACGTTTTTTTACAAGTTGAAACCTTAAATTACGGTAATTTCAACATGGTGTGAAGGCACCTTCTTCGCCCCTTGCATGCTTGCGTTCATCTGCCTCCACTTTTGAATGTAACGCCCACATCTCAAAACCCAATCAACAACCAAGATGCATAGAAGTCCGTCCCCCCCAAAAAAAAATCTGCTACACTTGGATGTACATCACAATATGGGGGAAAAAAATCTTTTTGTACTTCCATTTCTTCGCAACTTTAAGGATAGGAAAGATATTTTTACTGGGCAGCAAGACAAAGACACCAAATTAAGAAAGCGTCTCCAAAGCTTTTTGAACTAATTGAACTCAATAGGCTGTTGGCTCCAGAATAATAGTCGGGTCAACCCTTGTGGTTGTTTGCCTGCAGATCAAAAGTTCAGAAGTAAACCTGCTACTCACCCTGCTGATGGAGAAGGTGGCGCCGGGCTTGCCCGAGCACACACCCATGAAGCAGAATCGCAGTTGCCAGTAGAAGAGGTGCTCTGCGATGAATGTGATAAGGGACAGGGCCATTGCAGCTCCCAGCATATAGAACACACCTGCCATGTTGTCTACATCCAGCTGACTGCTCATCACCTCATTTTTCTCATTGTGGCAGATGCCAGTCAGCCACAGGGCCTCAAGTTCCTCCATCTCACCTAAAAAAAAAAAAAAATGAAAAAGATTACTAATTTCAAAATGTTGGTGTTAGAAAAAGAGAGTGACTGTTTATGAATCGTTGAATTTTTACTTTCTGCCTCTCCCGCAGTGTGTTTTGTGTGTTTGTGGGCTTTGAGAGCTCTTGAGCTGTTAGCAGACGTGTCTGTTCACTTTGTCTATCCGTGACGATTTCAGCAGTGCATTTACTTAGAGCCCCCACAAAACTGTGCACTGTAAACAAATTACGGCCCCTGCGAAGTGTAACATTTGTCATGACGGATTAATCCAAACTCATACGCACTGAAGCTCTCTTCTCATTAATGATTGCTTATGGGAGTCACTTGAGATTTGGTTTCCAGCTCTAATAAGGGCCCCGAGGGGCCTGACAGCCCGCATAGGAGGGACAAGATCAAACTCCAAAACACCATTTGGTGTCCTGCAGGTCAGTCTTTAGGGGCAAATTCAGATATAGCCTACACAAATATAATCAAAAAACACACATGCAAAAGATTCCATCCATTCAGTGGCTGCTTTTCTATTACACACTGAGAACTTTACTTGGTGACTTAAGCCTTCAAATCCGTCAAATACCTATGTGAGGGCGAATGTGCGAGCGGGTGTTTGCATGCTGTGCCGGTGCATTCATGTGTACCTACATGTATATGCCACACAGTTGATGCCTTCCCAGTGTACTTTTGAGATAACACAAGGACCCCCTTGACACTTGCAAATAGGACTCTATTCCTACTCCTGGATCATATGCTGGCTTATATAACAACATGTGACACACCCAAACGCACATTTACCTTGACTGCTTGTCAATATGCATATGAATGCTCACTGTGCCACTAATCTATTCTAATGCGTCCCGCTTGTGTGACATACCCATGTAGACATGTGGAATCACTAAGTATGGGATATATATTATATAAATGTATCTAGATGCCAATCTGATTTTGCATGACTGTGCCCATATATCTATAAGCTCTCGTTACAATATATCCTAAATGTCAGAAATTACTAACACTGTTTATGCATGTATGGGGTGCATAAGGGCATGTTCTGCATGTGTCTTTGGATGTGTTCCAAACAGCCTGTCATCTCAGATGCTGTTTGGGTAAGAGAGGATGATTTCCAGAAATGGCCTCTGGATCTGGATTACTAGGGGGTTCTAAAGGAAAGCTCTATCATGTGGAGATCTATTGATGTTACAGTACAACTATTACAGTTACTTGGTAGGTACACTACATTAGTACACTATTTATAATTTAGAGAGTACAGTAATTCAATATTAACTTTATTATGCTTTAACAGAATGCGAATCTCACACAAAGGAGGCTCTGAGAAACAGGCTGCCATATTTTCACACATCTAATACCATTTTGTGTGGCATACTTGTTGGCATACTAACAGACAGTGTAGGCACTTGTCATTTGCTGCCAGGTATTCTTCAAAACTGTTTGCCTTGAGGGCACATTGAGAACCATTTAAAGGAGAAGTGAATGAAGTAAACATATCAAGCTGTGAATTCTCTACACATTCATGCCACTTTTATGAACAGCATTTCAGTGCAAAAACCTGTCTTATTCACTAACCGCCCACAACCCATTTTAACCAGGCACTTTTTGCTATCTGTTATATACATCCCATCGTGCAAATTGTGCTTTGTAGAATTTTGGGGTGTGTTTGTGGGGTTGCCAGATTTGCATACTTTTTTAGTTAATCAGATGATAAAACAACTCAATACAATACAGATTCATTCTTAGTGAATTTCCCCTGAACATTTTGCTTTAATCTTAAAAATATTTGTGCAGATTACAGGGTTCCTACACATTTTCAATTTCAAAATTCCATTATTTTCCAGACCTGGAAATTACTCAGATCAAATTCCATAATTTTCCATACTGTGTAGGAACCCTGAGATTAAGACTGACTTGTTTATCACAATCATCCAATGCAATGACAAATTGGAAGAAAAAAGGAAGACAAAATTTACCATCTCCAAAAAGCATCAGAATGGCGAGGTCCACTGCCCTCTTCCAGCCTGAGTCTTTCTGAATGGCAATGCCATACCCTGTAGTGGCAAAGATATAACCACTGCCAATGGTCACCAGTTTACAGCCCTCATCGCGTCCGGCCATGTAGTTCAAGACCGCTGCATCGTAGATAAATGCATCCAATTTACTACAGAGCAAGAGAGAGAAGAGTAATACGTTAGAATGTCAATAATTCCTTGTCAAAACCAGTGTTATTTTCAGTATTATTGATACAATATTATAGTTTTAATGAGATTTTTTCTGTTTTAATTTTTAATTACATTTTTAGTAATTTATATATCTATATAGTTTTTATTAAGTTCCAGTTTATTTAGTTTGTTATTTTAATACTTAAACTAAAAGAAAGTGAAAAATGTTGCCTTTATTTTATTTTATTTGAAGTAATTAAAATGTTTGTTATTTTAATATAGTTTTAATTAACGATAATAACCCTGTGTTAAACGCATCTGAGTTACTTTCCAGTTTTTTTCCTGGTCAGCAACAAATAAGCAGCTACAAAGTATTTGTAAAAAAAAAACTTACTGTCTTGACTTACTGCAAGGATATGCCTGTAGTTTTAAATAAAATGGTAACACTTAACTATAAGGTCCCATTAGTTTTACACAAAAATGAATAATAGTTTTAAAATGTTTAAAATGAAGTATTCTCACATGGTATGAAGGCTACTAATGAACACTATTTATGTCCCTTTACAAAAAGTGCGTTGTGCCAAGTTGAAGTCACATGACCAGCTAAAACTATATACTTTATCCTGTTAACTGTTATTATAAGTCCAAGATGACTGTCATATCTGCCAGCACAACATAAACAAAAATTACTGAGTGGTTCTTTAAAATGTCCACAGTTAGTACTGATAAATTAAAGGATTTCAGAAACCAGTTTCATGTTGAAATGTTCTTCTACCAATCTGCATCTCCAAACAAAGTCCCTCCAGGATGCCTCATTTTGACGCTATCAGTCCAGAGTTCATCAACCCACTCACACACTGTACTTATACTGCTGTCCTACAATCTTTTAACTCATTCCCCGCCATTGACTGAAATTTCTATCATTTGTGAGACAACGCTTCCCTGCCATTGATGGAAATTTCAGCTTTCAGTGTTTTTACTGTTATACACTATAGGGGGCGCTGTTTGGCATCTTCTGAAAGAGTACTGAATCTCCTGATCAAAACACAGGTCAAGAAGATGCAAAAACAAGCAATATCATATGTATGCATATGTAAAATAACGCGATTATCAACATTAAACAGCACAGGAATCAAAACTGCCGTATGTTACTGAATGAAATGTCCGAACAAGACGTAGTCATTGAAAATGTTTTGATTTTCTCAGCTTTTAGCTCAAATTTTTGCTTTTTTAATGAAACTTACCCACATTCAAGTGTTGATAAAAAAAGGAATGCATGAGGCTAGAATAAATGGTTTCTTTTTTTGTTTAAAAGCTGAGGGTCTTTTCTTTCTTTTGATATATTCAGATATTCATACAACAAAACATTCTGGGGGCCATGAAACTTTTGCGAAAATGATCAAAAATGCTGGCAGTGGCTGGCAACTTTTTTCAAAAACGCTGGCGGTGAAAGAGTTAATCTCCCTGTGTTCCCATCATTTTCGCCCTTTATATTCTTTTCATGCAGATATCATAATCTCTCTCTCTAATAATTTTTCTCTTTTTTCATTCTCACCCCGTCTTCAGGCTGTGGAGCGCCTCGTTTACGTTTTTCTGGTGGAAGCTGGTCATATAGCTGTGCATCTCCTTGTAGTTATTCCTTATGTTTCTCTCTGTGCTGCCATTGGGCACAGTACCGAACCGGAACGGAGGGGAAAAGTCATTCGGATGTTGAAACTTGATAAGAGAGAGAAAAAAAAATATATATATAACTCAGCAGGGTCCACATTGTCAATGAACACTCAAGGGACAAAGTGTGAGGAGAGGTGTCACTTCAAAAAACCTTAAAGACAGATCTCTTTTCTCCACCATTCATAATAGAACTATTTCCTGTGTAAACACATGGACTATGTTCTCTAGACACTCAAAGCTTTGCCAGACATAAAAAGTAAAGCATGACTTAGAGTAAAAAACAAAATCTCACCACATCAATTATTAAACGGGCTACAGCACCCTCTCAGAGTCAAATCTTGTTTTCTGTTTCATAGCGGCTGGCTAATTCACATTAGCCCACTTTTTTCCACGCAAAGACGACAGAAAAACAAAAACAAATTATCACTAAACCAGTCAGCATGTGGTTGCCCACATATGTCATCAGTCATTTGAGGATCATAAACAGTAGTATTAGTGTTTCATATGCAAAACCGTGCAGAGTAAGCATGCATGGATTCACTTATTCACAGTTAATTAAAAACATAAAATGGCAAAAGTTTTTTCAAATTTCCAAACATGTTTCACCTTCAGCCACAGATACTCCCGCCCCAAACCCGTGTCACTGGTTAAACCATTAATTGATCTAATTGATCATGTCAGATCACGCAAAGAAAGCAATGTTTTTAAAGTGCCAGAGCCACAGAAAACCCACAAATGCCCTACAGCTGTCTCTGCACATTAAACAAAAGAGCATGTAACAAATTACACAGTGCACCTTAAATATTGCATCATTTATTGGCTAGTCTTGGCAAATTAACCTTAGCTGTTTAACACCAAGGATGAAGTAGAGTCTGGTGTATCAAGTCAAATCACGTTCAGTTCAAGGCAGTCGTCGGAGAAAAAAACCTCCAGCTTATTATGTCCTTAGATCTAATTTTTTTGACAGAAGGATAAATGAGATCAACGAGAACTACATTTTTAATAACAGCTTTCAGATGCCCATAGTTCACTTTTGCAAATGCTGCTGAATTTGACCAATAAACACTGTTACCTTTTTATCACTCAGGCCAGTCACCTGGTCCACATATTCCTCTTGAATCATAAACGCGGCCAGGTTGGCAGTGTAGCTGGCCAGGAAAATCACAGCGAAGAAGGCCCAGACCGATACCATGATCTTGCTAGTAGTGCCTTTGGGGTTCTGCACGGGCACAGAGTTATTGAAGACCAAACCCCAAAGTAGCCAAATAGCTTTTCCAATGGTGAAGGAGGGACCGCCAGGCTCTGATTGTGTGTAAAGAGGTGAAGAATTTGAAATAGGGAGTTATTACGTTATCATTTAATAGGAATCAGAGAGGAGTAAAAGGGCAGATGAAAAAAAAATGGTAATAAATAGACTTGAATTAACTATTCAGTTTTGATTTCAAATCAAAAGAATCAATATATTGAGAGAAGCAATACATTGCCGAGCATGAAACCAGCTAATACAAAATGAAAAGATAGACGTAATGGGCAAAACTAAAAGAAATATAATTTTAATAAATGTATATTATAATATAGAGAGAAATAAATACATTTATATATATTTAAATATATATATATATAATATATTAAACAGAATTTGTAGATATTGTAAAAAATACTGCAATAAGTATATTTAAATGCATTTTTAGATGGGTAGAAAATTAAGACATAAAACTACATACAGTATCTCACAAAAGTGAGTATACCCAGTGGCGGTCTTAACATAGAGGCATAGGTAGGCGGCTGCTTGGGACCCCCTACCAGCGGTCGTAGTAGGGGGGCCCCCCAACCTACCTCAAAAAATATATATATAAAAGAAAAGAAAAAGCCCCTTATCATCATGAACGCTTCAAAAGCATAGTAAATGTTATTAATATGCTTAAGAAATACGTTGAAATGTTGAAGTAGTAGTTAAAATGTCCCGTTCATGTTTATCTGTCCCTACACATAACACCCCCTCCTTTCGCAATAAAATGGACTAGTCCGAAATTGTGCACGGCGCGAAACCGCGAAAGATAAACATGACAGGAGAACTGGGAAGTACACAACGAAGCAAGACGAGTCTAAACGCGAAAATGAAACGAAGTTACCCAAGCGGCTCAAATAAAAGAAAAAAAGACAAAAGACGCCGATATTGAGAGTGAGGAGTCACGTGCCGATTTGGGTTGATTTGGGCGGGGTCTGAGCCGGTCGGCCATGATGGCAGGAGACGCTATCGGTTGCCAGGGGCAACGCCTTCAGAACTTCACAGAGGCGCGACTAAACATTATTTGTTTACATTATACATTTTAGCGATACGCCGCAGTTTCTTTGGAAGATATGGAGAAGGAAGAGAAATGAAAGGGGTTATATCGGGAGAGACTAAATAACAATGCTAGCCAGCTTTATTTAGAGAAAAAACTTGTCAATAAACTGACAGCAGCAACAGCAAAGCATGATTTCAAAAGCAACACATTTCAGCACAGTTCGCCTTTTATTTAACACAAACGAATTAAATTAATACTCTGTTATTCAACTAGAGTTGTTTAATTTGTTATAGATATATCTGTACCGCGAAATGTTTTAAAAAGACACTTTTTTAATGACGTACGACTCGCATTGACAGGGGAATGTCCGATATGTCCGCTTAACGTTGCACGTCAGGTGCAAATGCACGGATATCTGATTCATATCAGATTTATTTCCACATATGAATGAGGCCTGAAACATGACTGAACTCTCGCAGTTTAACGTTACAGGTTTGGGGGTTTCTGTCTTGCACCCGCAGCCGCAGCAGAATTGTTCATAAGCTTCTAATGACTTAAAGCTTCTGAACTCTTGCATTGTGTATGCAAGAGTGCATGCAGTAACGTTAGGCACTGATACCATAAACCAGGTAATTGACTATGTCAGGGTATGTGAAAGGTGGTAGTGCTTTGGGTCTTTCGTCCATTCTGTAGCAGGTCGTACGGGTCCATGTTGTTGATGTCAAGTAGTTTCTCTAAATAACGCTGCTTGGTGTTGTTATTTAGTCTCTCCCGATAGAGCCCCTTTCCTTTCGCTTCCCCCTTCTTCATTTATTCCCAAGAAACGGTGCCTTATCGCAAAAATGCAAACAAATATCAAGCTGCTCTCTCTCTCTGTCGCTATTTCTCTCGGTCTCACTGTCGAAGTAACCATGACAACGGATAGCGTATCCTGCCAAGATGGCGACGCCTTCCCACAATGCAACGCGGAGTGAGACGCGTGACGTCACATTCTCATTCTCAATAGGCCTATTTGGCAACGCTGCCAAAAATGACAAACCTTTTTATGCCTACTGTTAGGGACATGCCGCAGCCGCTACAGCAGCAGCTGTGAAGTGACGCTAGTTGAGGATAACATCCTGTTAGACTGAACGGGCAAAAGTAAATATTACATTTATTATGGGTTTATCTGATGATTGTTTTAAGTTCACGTAAATTAAAAGTTGTTATATATTTTTTGAAGCCTAACAAAATGTAAATTTGTTGGCTTTCAATTACACTGTAATGTTGGATGGCTGGCTATAATTAATGTTTAAAATTAGGGGAAAAAATCTTTTCTATCCAGACATCAATAGCTGTATTAGTATCAGTGATACTGACCTTCATTCATAAAAAAGATGCCATTAAACAAGTATTTAAAATATACTGTCTTTATGTTGTCTCTACATTCATTTGTAGATTAACTGTGAAATTATTACATTATAAAATATATAAACTAATACAAACCTATAAAAATGTTTGTTTGTAGAATGTTTGAAATGTCAATCTCATTTGCAATGCCAATAGGCTTTATGCACAGCTTCACTACTTCCTGAACTTCAGCCAGCCCTTTGTTTCCTGTCTGTCATTATTGGACAAACTGATTAATCCAGGTGTGCCTGGCCTCAGTAACAATAATCAGGCACACCTGCATTAATCAGTTTGTCCAATAATGACAGACAGGAAACAAAGGGCTGGCTGAAGTTCAGGAAGTAGTGAAGCTGTGCATAAAGCCAATTGCAACCTCATTCACTCATACAAAGTCAATGGGCTCTATGCACGGTGGTATTTCCGGTGAAGGTCTAAGGATGCTGGATTACTTCCGCCGATCGTAGAGTCCAATGCTATGCCGAGAATTTATATTGTTTTTTATACTCTATTGCTATACTAAAGAAATGTTAGTCACAAAAACAGACAAAACAGACACCCCTCATTTTGTTTATGCTTCTGTGTTTATTATATTAAATAAACATAACTATATATAAAATTACATCTAAATGTATTAAAGTTTCGTTTCAAAGACGAGAGGACAGTTAATTTTGAAGACTCTGCCATAATCCCGTTTTCCTCGGTTTTCCTCCGCTTTAAATCTCCCCAACCGGAAACGCACGAGCATCCTTGCGTCAAACGCGGAAGTTATGCGTGCATATAGCCCATTATTCATCTTGGCAATATTTGCTAAAATGGCTGTTTGTGGGGGTTTACCCTAACTACTTGTCTTGCTGGTTATATTGATATTGATTTGATCTTAAAAAAAGAATAAACAGTGCTGGGTTTCCTGGCATTTTGGCAAAGACAGGTGTTATCTGAAACCTTATTCTCTGTTGGGGAAGGCTTTTTTTTCTCCTCTCCAACCTTTACTTCCCCGTAGATTAGCTTTTCCTACCATTTAGTTGGTAAAAAAAAAACTACGTTCTCATAAAGATGGGATGGGGGGCCCCATACGTACCTTCGCTTTGGGCCCCCAATTTGCTAAATCCGCCACTGAGTATACCCCTCACATTTTAACAAACATTTTAGTATCTACTCAAGGGACAATACTATAGAAATGAAACTTGGATATATTTTAGAGCAGTCATTGTGCTGCTTGTATAGCAGTATGTATTTACTGTCCTCTGAAAATAACTCAACATACAGCCATTATTGTCAAAATAGCTGGCAACAAAAGTGAGTACACCCTAAGTGATAATAGCTGTACGTCGTTTAACCATGCAGAGCCACATGTCCTATTCATCATGTTCATGTTTTTGTCTGCTTGACAGGACCATACAAATGGTTGTATCTTGTATTAGAGCAGTTCAAATTTGTGCTTTGAGTACTGACCACTAGATGTTCAACATGGCACCTCATGGCAAAGAACTCTAATGATTTGAGAATTAGAATTGTTGCTCTCCACAAAGATGGCCTAGGCTATAAGAAGATTGGTAACACCCTGAAACTGAGTTACTGTACAGGCCAGGGTCATACAGAGGTTTTCCAAGACTGGTTCCACTCGGAACAGGCCTCGCAAGGGTCAATCCAAGAAGTTGAGTCCTCGTGCAGTGCATCAGGTGCAGAAGCTGGCTTCAAAAAACAGACGCATGAGTACTGCCAGCATTGCTTTAGAGGTTGCAGAAGCGGAAGGTCAGCTTGTTAGTGCTCACACTGCAACAAGTCGGTCTGCATGGCCGTCGTCCCAGAAGGAAGTCTCTTCTGAAGCTAGCTGAAAGCAACCTGTCCAAGAGCATGAATTACTGAAACCATGTCCTGTGGTCTGATGAGACTAAGATAAACTTGTTTGACTCAGATGGTGTCCAGAATGTGTGGCGATGCCCTGATAAGGAGTACCAAGAACATTGTGTCTTGCCTACAGTCGAGCATGGTGGTGGTAGCATCATGGTCTGGGGCTGCATTAGTGCTGCTGGCACTGGGGAGCTGCGCTTCATTGAGGAAAACATGGATTCCAACATGTACTGCGACATTCTAAAGCAGAACATGATGCCCTCCCTTTAGAAACTGGGCTGAACGGCATGATAACGACCCCAAACACACCGCCAAGATGACAACTGCCTTGCTGAGGACAGACTGATCTCATGAAATGGCGTATGTATGACACACCAATTCGTATTTCCATTTTTGGCGTGCTATCAACACGCATAATCGCTTTTCAGCGTGTTTATCAACGCCGTTGACTTAACGTTACATTACTGTATATATATAAATATATGACCTACCCCAACCCCGTCCCTAAACCTACCTGTCACTGGGGTTAATACCATTTATGAGTCTTCCCCTACGGCGTGTACATACACGCGGAATCACACGCGGAATCACACGGACATTTAACGGTGTAGACATACACGCAAAAGATGACTGTTCGTTTCGGCGTGCACATACACGCGGATAGCTCAAAATGCGTATAGATAACACGCCACTTGACTTGAAAGTGGCGTGTATGTTTGCGCAAAGTCATGATGTCATGTTGCTGAGGAAGCTGAAGTGATGGAGTGGCCAAGTATGTCTCCAGACCTGAACCCTATTGAGCACCTGTGGGGCGTCCTCAAGCGGAAGGTGGAGAAGCGCCATGTGTCTAACATCCAGCAGCTCTGTGATGCCATTATGGAGGAGTGGAAGAGGATCCCAGCAACAACCTGTGCAGCTCTGGTGAACTCCATGCCTAGGAGGATTAAGGCAGTGCTAGATAACAATGGTGCTCACACAAAATATTGACACTTTGGACACAGTTTTGACATGTTCACTTAGGGTGTACTCACTTTTGTTGCCAGCTATTTTGACAATAATGGCTGTATGTTGAGTTATTTTCAGAGGACAGTAAATATATACTGCTATACAAGCAGCACAATGACTGCTCTAAAATATTCACTTATATAGTATTGTCCCTTGAGAAGATATACTAAAATGCTTGCTGAAATGTGAGGGGTGTACTCACTTTTGTAAGATACTGTGTACAAATTTTATATGGGTGTTAGGTATAAGGGTGATAGATTTATATTTGCAAGCACACCTCGTCCATCTGCCAAGCAGCGATTATAGCCAACAGGACTGAAGTACTCAAAGACGAAGACAGCCACGGCTGAAACTATCAACAGCATAACGAACATCATTACCCAGACATCAGCGCTGAAGGGCTCTGAGAGCAACAAAAAAAAGAGAAGGGAAGACAAATTATTAATGAGGAGTCTACTTGAATGTGGAATTTTATCTTGAATCACCTTACAGTGTGTTTTTAGTACTTACCTAAAAAGGCAGAAGGAGACACTGTGCCATTGCTACGAGAGACCATGACACTAATTCCTGTCTCTATGAAGGGCACAGAGAAGTCAATGACCTCCGACCTCTCTTCATTTATGGTCAGGGACCCCACTGCCATGTGGGCATTCTTAAGCACCACCTAGACGTGAAGAAACGGGACAGTTATGCCCATCTTGTACTAGTCTAGGCATGCCACAACAGAGGAGGGAAAGTAACAGTGTGGAAAGAAAAAGGTGAAAGAAAGTTAAAATGGGAATTAGTGAATGAGAAAACCATGAAGAAGAAAAAAACGACTGCGAGACCAAGGGAAGCAGAAATCAGGTTACTTCCTACACTGGGTCGCAGTAGCTTTTAATAGCCGTTTCTCTTTCTTTTCAACCTTCCCTAATCACCACTTTCCCAAACCCATCACTTGTCCAGGTATATTTAGAGTTACATATAAGATGCCTCTGGTGATTTAGGAAAATGGGACAAAACAGAGTTAATAAGGTGATTGTACGCAACAGAAAGGCTCTGTTTACATCAGGACTACTCAAGGGGCCACAAAGCCAGATCCCTTTAGCCTCCAGGGCCACACTCCTAATTTTTATAGTGTCTCTGTTATATTAATGAGGCTACTGAGTATTACACACTTACACAGCCACATCAAATCTAAATGGCTTCCATTATAATCAATGAGGCTGTACTGTAAGTGCTCGTCTGTGGCACGGTTTGCAGAGTGGACTATAGATTTCCACTTGGTATCAGATTTTTTAAATTGCACTGTGGGTTTACCATGGTATATAGCAGAATCTCATAAAACATGCGGGCGCAAAAATGCCCTGCGGGCTGCATGTTGAGTAGTGCTATTCCATATCCTATTTTCTTTGTCTTTTCAAAATATGAGACTATATTTTGCATATTTGTTTGAGTTTGTGTTGCGTTATAGCATCCATCTCTGAACATGAACATGTCTTGGAGCATCAGATCTTGTAAAGACATTAAGTAAACATAAAGCAAGCTACTAAAAGTCTGCGACTCCAAATGTGGTGCAGTTCTGAGAGTATTCATATGACTAGGACCGAAAGGGAACTGCATAACATTCATTCCAACTGTGGATTTACATATGATCCGGTAACTCATATTATTTCTCATCTGAATTAATGCACCAGCTGTATTTTCCCTTGGGCTTGTGCAAACTCACTCGCTCACATTTTCTCTCTTTTTCATCTGTTCTTGGCATGAGAGATACTGTTCATTTTTTTGAAAATAATACATAATCAGAAATCCATAGATGCTCCAGAGCCATGTCCAAGTGGTTAATGCACATTATCTTTATATCAAGCGATGAAAATGTCTTTTCATGGTTTAAGTTAAAGTAAACAAACAAAAATACTAAATTACTAAAATAACAAAAACCGATAGACATTAAAATAAACAACTAAAAATGACAGAAACACACAACAAAATGACTACAATTTTAACTAAAATGAAAACAGAAAATATAAAAATAAATTATTAACAAAACTATACTAGTATATCAACAATCCTAAAATAACACTGGAGCCATGGCGCCCATTCAAGCAATGCGAGTTTGAGTTTGGCTCGCAACATTTCCTGATCCAGTTTCCCCCTTTTTAATTACAAAATTTACAGTTAACAACATTTCTCAAACTGTTTTGAGCAAAATATTTTTAATTTAGCAATAAGCAGACAGTGTGACAAAACGAATCGGTTACCTAACGTAACCTCGGTTCTCTCTAGAAGAGGGAACGAGTATTGCGTAAGCTAGCTTACGCTGCGGGAAAGATTCATCTTTGCTGAGATATTGAAGCCAAAAATTATTTCATAATTTGTATCCATACACAACGCAGTTCCTCTGCGGCAGACCTAGAGCAGGCTAGCTAGCAGCTCATTGGTTCGCTCAGAGAGAACTGCTTAAGCCTATGGGAGAGCGGGGCTGAACCCGCTTCCAATGAGAGGCGCCCGCGCGCTCATTGCGTCATGGCCCGCCAGAATGGGCGTGGCTATGGTGTATATAACAGTCTCTCCCAGGCTTATATGTTGATTTATTTCAGCGTGAAGCGAAACGCTAGTAGCGCAAGCACGGCCGGGAACGCAATACTCGTTCCCTCTTCTAGAGAGAACCGAGGTTACGTTAGGTAACCGATTCGTTCTCTTACGAGAGGTTCTCTCGTATTGCGTAAGCTAGCTTACGCTGCGGGAACACCTGGTCAACGCCGTGCGCGCTATGAATCCACTCATGAATCCCAGGGTGATACCGGGGGATTTTTAACGTGGAGTGAATGTATTATGAGGCCGGCAGAGCGGGCACATGAAGTGTATACATAAGCATGTAAGAGGCCGGCAGAGCGGGCACATGAAGTGTATAAGCATTTAAGGAGAGCACAAGGGGCGAACCGGTTGTGTGAGGGACTCCCAGTAATGCAGCTTCTTAGGGAGCTGGTCGTTTAGACAGCTAGTAATTTTGCCTGCAAGGCGGGAACTTCCAAGTTGTAAAACCTGACAAAAGTGGACGGGGAGGCCCATCCCGCGGCCACACAGATGTCATGAATGGAAATTCCACAGGACCATGCCCACGATGAGGCCATGCCTCTAGTGGAGTGCGCCCTGATGCCCAGAGGGCAGGGCAGGCATTTAGATGCGTAAGCAGAGGCGATAGCGTCCACTATCCATCTAGACAGTGTCTGTTTAGAGGCGGCCAGACCTTTGGTGCGCCCCCCAAACGACACGAAAAGCTGCTCAGCGCGTCTGAACGCGGCAGCGCGCGTAGTGTACAATCTCAGAGCCCGCACCGGGCAGAGGAGATTGGCGTCGCGCTCACTATCGGATGAAGGCAGAGCCGATAGGGAAATAATCTGAGCCCTGAACGGGGTACCAATCGCCTTCGGGACATAGCCATGTCTAGGTTTGAGAATGACAACAGAATCATTCGGACCAAACTCGAGACACGCGGCGCTGGATGAGAGCGCGTGAAGATCCCCCACGCGTTTTAATGAGGACAGAGCCGTCAGAAAAACGGTTTTGAGCGAGAGGTATTTTAGGTCCACAGACTCGAGCGGTTCGAACGGGGGTGCTTTCATAGCTTCGAGAACTATAGAAAGATCCCAGATAGGAACCGAAGGGGGGCGCGGAGGGTTCATCCTCTTAGCTCCCCTGAGGAAGCGGATGACTAACTCGTCTTTGCCCAGGGACTGAGCGCGTCGGGGTTCAGAGAACGCCGCGACGGCTGCCACGTAAACCTTGAGAGTGGAGGGGGACCTGCCCTTGTCCAGCATCTCTTGAAGGAAAACAAGCAAAGACGGCACCTCGCATGACCGTGGGTCCAGATGTTTGTCGGTGCACCATTTTGAGAACACAGACCATTTAGACGCATAGAGCCTTCTCGTGGAAGGTGCTCTAGCCTGTATGATAGTGTTTCTTACTCCTTCTGGCAAATCAACGAATAGTCGTTGATCACCCATGCATGTAGCGCCCAGCGCCGTGGATGGGGGTGCCAGATCGTGCCGCGAGCCTGAGAGAGGAGATCTGCTCTGACTGGGATGGGCCACGGGGCTGTCTGCGACAGCTGAGTGAGCTCCGGAACCCAATTCTGACTCTCCCAACGCGGGGCTATGAGGAGCACCGAGTGGCGTGTGTCCCTGATCCTCTGAATTACCTGTGGTAGCAGAGCGATCGGAGGGAATGCATAGAGCGGGCGGCGAGGCCATTCCTGGGCTAGCGCGTCCTCGCTCCTTGAGAAAAATATTGGGCAGTGAGCGTTCTCTTCTGACGCGAAGAGGTCCACTTCTGCTCTGCCGAATAGCCGCCACAGTATTTGGACCGTTTGTGTGTTCAGGGACCATTCTCCTGAGGAGATGAGGTTCCTGGACAGTATGTCTGGGCCGTCGTTCAGATGGCCCGGCACATGCGTCGCTCTGAGCGAGAGCAGGCGGCTCTGAGACCAAACTAAAATGCGGTGTGTCAGTAGGAAGAGATTCCTGGACCTGACACCGCCCTGACGGTTGAGATAGGAGACCACAGCCATGTTGTCCGAACGGATCAGGACGTGGTGTCCCCGAATGAGCGGGAGGAAGCGCGAAAGCTCGTTCTCGACCGCAAGCATTTCCAGACAGTTTATGTGTAAGGGGCTTTCCTGTGTCGACCAATGGCCGAAGGCCGGTGAGCCCTCGCAGACTGCACCCCAACCCGTGTTGGATGCATCTGTCGAGATGACTTTTCGGCGAGAAAAGGTCCCCATCGTGACGCCTTGTCGGAACCATTCTGCTACTGTCCATGGCTGCAGCGCCGTGAGACATGTCTGCGTAACTCTGATCAGCTGGCGGCCCGTGTTCCACGCGCGGTGGGGTACACGGCTGTTTAACCAAAGCCGAAGCGGACGCATGTGCAGAAGGCCCAGCTGAAGCACAGCGGAGGCTGAGGCCATGTAACCCAGCATCCTCTGAAACGTTTTCAGAGGTGAGCGGGTGCCCATCTGAAACGAGGCGGCCAGTCGCTGTACACTGCGCGCGCGCTGTGTAGACAGGCGAGCCGTCATCGTGACCGAGTTCAAATCTATTCCTAGAAAGGAAATCGATTGACTGGGTTGAAGGGAGCTCTTTGTCCAGTTGACAGAGAGGCCCAGCGTTTTCAGATGGTCGAGGAGAACTGCGCGGTGCGACAGAAGCTCCGTCTGTGATTGGGCCAAAATCAGCCAGTCGTCCAGATAATTCTATATGCGCAGCCCCTGGCTCCGCAGGGGGGCGAGCGCCGTATCCATGCACTTCGTAAATGTGCGGGGCGCCAGAGATAAGCCGAACGGGAGAACGGCGTATTGATAAACATGACCCTCGAAGGCCAAACGTAAGAATGGCCTGTGACGGGGATTTATCTGGATCTGAAAATAGGCGTCTTTCAGGTCTAGAGAGATGAACCAGTCCCCCTGACGCACCTGCGCGAGGAGTTTCCTGGTAGTGAGCATCTTGAACGGTCTCTTCATGAGCACTTTGTTCAAAGACCTGAGATCTAAAATCGGTCTGAGGCCGCCGTCTTTCTTGGGAACCAGAAAATAACGGCCGTAAAACCCCGACTCGGTCATAGATGGTGGGACTCTCTCTATGGCGCCCTTTTGCAACAGCGTCGCAATTTCTGAGCGGAGCGTGCCGGCGGCCAGCGGGCTGACAGTAGATTCGAGCCGCGCGCGCGCACGAGGCGGGCGGTGGCGAAACTGTAGCAGATAGCCGTTCTTTATAATGCTTAGCACCCACGGGGAAATGCCTGGAATGGCTTCCCATGCTTTGGAGCATGCGGCTAGTGGCCGAATGGCTATATTGCCCTGATTGCTGCACATAGCGGGCTGGACACAGTGTGTGGGCGCGCTTTGAATGTGTGTGGCAACGGGATTTGCACTCAGAGAGGACTCTATGGGCCGTGAAACAGAGCGAGCAGAGAGGGGACACGCGCACGAGCTCGTGGGCGTGTTTATGTTCTCTGATATTAGAGCGGGCTGTGCCCGTTTCATGTGATGGGGCTCTGATAGAGACACGGGGTATGTTATGCTTGTGTGTATGGGTGAGCACATGATTGTGGGCACGTTTTCTACACAACTGGCAAATTTTCTCTTTTTGAGATTTCTCTGGGTAGCCGTAAAAACGGCTTTTTGTCGCTCGCAAGCGGGCTGGGACACCGGCTTGTTTGTGGCGGTCAACAATACAGCAGTCGGCGAAATAACGGGGACTGGCAGAGGGCGAAGCTTTGACGGCGGTCCGGCCGCAGCGGGAGAGCACCGTCGTTTTCTTGACTTTGCTAGGCAGACTTCTGATGATCAGGCTTCAGCGTGATCTTAGGTCGCGGGCCTCGTGGGGGCGGCGGTCTGCGGCGGCTGTCAGAGCGAGAGCGAGGGCGGCCGCCCTGTCTGCGCTGGGCTGTTTGAGTCTGCGGAGGGGGGAGCTGTGGTGGAGCTCTGGCAGGAGGCTCGTGAGAGCGGCCCGCGGAAGAGCTAGCGCGGCGGGGCAGAAACAAATTCATCGCCTGAGTAGCTTTCTGGACCTCAGAAAAGCGATCGACGATTCCCGTGACAGCAGATCCAAAAAGGCCCGTCGGGGAGAGGGGCGCGTTAAGAAACGCGGCGCGCTCAGAATCTCCCATGTCGGCGAGCGTGAGCCATAAGTGTCTCTCGGCAATACAAAGGCTGGCCATGCATCTCCCCAGAGCTTGTGCGGCGGCTTTAGTGGCGCGAAGGGCGAGGTCCGTAGCACTTCTCAGATCCGTGACAGCGGGGGAGGGGTTTCTACCGCCTTCGGCCCACTCACGGAGAATATCGCTCTGTAATACTTGGAGGACAGACATTGAATGTAGCGCTGCGGCGGCCTGACCGGCGGCGGCGTAGGCGCGAGCATGAAAGCTCGAGGTCGCTCTGCAAGCTTTCGAAGGAAGCGTGGGGGAAGAGCGCCATCTAACAGAGGGCGGGCAGAGGTGTGCGGCGACCAAGTCCTCGACGGGCGGCATGGCTAAGTAGCCTTTCTCGGCGGCTCTGTCCACCGAGCGCAGCGAGGCGGATATATCAGAGCGGTTTCTAGCCGAGAGCGGGGCATTCCAGGACTTCGTCAGCTCTGCGTGAAGTTCAGGCAGGAATGGAGCGGCCCGGTTGCACGCGGGGGTCGAGCGCCGATGAAAAAAGCTGCCGTCCATCCGGTTCGGGGCCTGCTCGGGTGGAGGAGACCACTCGAGACCGAGGCGTTCGACGGCCTGTGCGAGGAGGCGCATTAGTTCCTCCTCTATCCCGGCGCGGATCCCCGCCGATTCTCTCGTGGATCCGAGAGATGACCATTCTTCACTGTCAGAAGCGAGCAGTGAACAGGAGTCCTTCTCCTCCGCGGCGTCATCGGAAGCGACAGAGCGGCCACTCGGCGGCAACTGTATGTCCGGCAGGGGCGGGGAGGGAGAGCGGGAAGCGGGAGGCGGCGGCGGCGGCCCGCATTGTTCCGCTGGGGGCTCCGGCGGCCTCTGGGAGCGGCGTTTTTTCTTACGCGGCGAAGAGGAAGGCGGCGCGGGAGCGGATTTTGCTGCCAGAAGTCGTGCCCGCAGGGACGACAACGGCAGGCTCTCACAGAAGTCGCATCCTCCATCCGCGAGGGCGAGTTCTGCGTGCTCGAGTCCCAGGCAGAGAGCGCAGATGACATGGCGGTCTCCGTCCTCGAGACGAGCGCGGCAAGAGCCGCAGGAAAAACCAGACATCTTTAAAAAGACGCTCGGCTCTTTTAGATATAATAGAGAAGGATACAGTCGTCGGATGGCGCTAGCTTGCAGGGCGGCTGAAGGTGGCGAAGACGGCCGGCTTCTTCAGGGTCCGGGAGCTCGCTAGAGTGATGCCTTTTCGACGGCGACGGCTTTTCTCAGGACAGCAGAAGCGTGCAGCTTGCTGAAGATGAAATGAATCAACATATAAGCCTGGGAGAGACTGTTATATACACCATAGCCACGGCCATTCTGGCGGGCCATGACGCAATGAGCGCGCGGGCGCCTCTCATTGGAAGCGGGTTCAGCCCCGCTCTCCCATAGGCTTAAGCAGTTCTCTCTGAGCGAACCAATGAGCTGCTAGCTAGCCTGCTCTAGGTCTGCCGCAGAGGAACTGCGTTGTGTATGGATACAAATTATGAAATAATTTTTGGCTTTAATATCTCAGCAAAGATGAATCTTTCCCGCAGCGTAAGCTAGCTTACGCAATACGAGAGAACCTCTCGTAAGAGAACCAAAGCAACAGTTTCGATATCCAGTAGTATTCGATCTCCTCTCATCTATCATATGCAGTCTGGTAGAATAGGTAGAAAAATGATCCAGCAAGCTCTGGGATGATAAACAACTCTAGGTGTTTGATAAGAACCAGTCGTTTTCTTACTAAAAGCATTTTGAAACTTACCTCTCCAACCATGCCATTCCATGTGCCGTTGATCTTTTTGCCATGCTTCCCATTGGTCACCAGGTAGAGATCGTAGGTGAATTTTACAGACTTTGCAATCTTTTTGAGGATGTCTATACAGAAGCCCTTGCAACAGCGTTTAATGTAGATCCCTGAATCTTTTGTCTGATTTCTAGGGATAGGAAAAACAGGAAGAAAAAGGTGAGAAGATTAATGTTAGCGCAGGAAGTTATTTTTCTACAAAGTGAAGACGATCAACAAATTTTGCTTCAGCTGTTTATAAATTCCTTGATCAAAATACCACCTTATAATAAATCTGCATCAGAAGAAATCAATCAATGAGTTAACAACACTTTAAAATGATTAATGACCACTGCACTTACTATTGCTTTGACTACAAGGCGACTTAAATTTGTCAAAATCCACATTAATCTTGGATCATTTCTCACAATAAATGGGTTTTAGCAGGAAATTATTACAAAAATGCTAAATGAATTTAACAGCAATTAAACATTTTATAATCAATATTTCAAAGACACGAGATACCAGTTTTATTCCATCAATAAATCAGTGTTTCAAAGTGACTGTACAATACCATAAACACCACACGTTCTTACTATATGATATACTCAAGTCCTGACAGTGACAGAGCACTTTAAATGTGAAAACTGAATGAAGTATCTATACTTAGTGCTCTTATGAGACTATCTGCATTTTGACAGGCAAGATTAATGACTGATCTCATATTGATCTCATACAAAGACTAATTTTAGTTTAAAGATATTTTACCTATATTATGTAGCTTTATCCATCTTGACACGGTTAAAATCATCTTTACAAGTGAAACATTCTTAGTGTTTTATCTCTTGGTATTTGGATTTTTTTTTTAAATCCTAAAGCCTTCTGTTTACTTCCAGGTTTAAATTACATTTTGACTCTCATATTTTCATTGTAGTCCCATATTTTTGCGCCCCACAATATTCATCTGTGATTTAATCAAAGTTTTCAAATATCTGCTGTGAAATCTGAGACGAATCTGAACTTTGAACCGAAACTGCAGCACATTTCCTGAATATCTGTACTGTTCCTATGCGATTCTCACTGGAGTTTGAGCTGTTTTCTGCACGGCACTGTATTCCTCATGCAGGTGCCACTGAGGGGGTCGACATCCTCCACAATAACAAATGGAGCCTCCTCCAGCGTAACAATGGACAGGTGGTCATCCTCTCGCTCCCCAGCATCCGAGTACAGCTCGAACCGAGGCCACACGTGGTACTTCATTGTCAGAGACCCGTTCTCCCATTTACCGACCTGTGAAAGTACAAAGAGGGCAAGATGAGAGCTAAAGCTGGGAGAAGGATAACAAGTGACATAATGAGAGGGTGCTGAGGTTGAAGTGGCTGAGATTGGATTAGTTTAGTGCAGGCTAAATTTGAGGAGGGCAGAAATCTTGAATTAAGATGAAGAGAGATAAAGAGTAAATGGAGGTTGATAATTACATCAGGGAACTGTGCAGTCATGAGTTAAGAGAAATCAAGAGAGAAAAGGAGAAATGAGGAGAGATACCCACCCTGTCATACTGCCTCTCCTTATCTAACAGTATAATAACCAACTTTGGGTGCATCTGAAAACCGTCCTCACTAAAGGAGAGGTTGCGCCCTTCAAATGTCACATTCATGAGATACCTGATGAGAAAACAAAGGGAAAATATCAGAACAGGCGCATTTGATGGTTATTAACACAAATGCACCTTCCTTTCTTGTTCAGCACAAACATTTTCAGAACAAGTCAAAGCAATCTACAGGGTCCCTCAATGTCAGCATCTTTCCAGTTTACCTATAGTGTATGGGTTTCTGTATACTATCCACATACCTGTATGTCCACACACATTTATAATGCAGGGAAGCAGGTTTGTTGCTAGAGGCTATAGCAAATAATATTCACAATGGCAAATATGAATCTGGCAGCCTCCTGGTCACAAAACCATTATTATGACTTTAAATCCACTCAGTTGGAGAATCTTGAGGACCTGCTATGGCTTTCACCTTAACAAAATACTAAAGTCATGAACCCAATATAATAGTAAGTTAATAATCCAGGGGAAACCATTTATTAGAAGTGAGTAATATTACATGCCAGATTTTTTCTAATACCTGATATCTTAGCCTTCAAGTAAGCCATCCAAGAATGCATTAATAGTAGCTCATTTTTTGGAAGTAGCACATTTAAACCAGTTTATAATGCCATTATTTGCCATCTTAAAATAGTATCCACGCAAATAGGAAGCCAAACTGTGTATGAGACAGCAAACATTACATGGTGAACAGTTTCATCCAAATGTCAACCTTTTTTTCCAAAAGCAGCATGCTTGACCCCTATCACTTAGGAATTAAATCTTGTCACGCAACCTTACTACCCAGAGTGTCTTGACACTGCACAGATCTGCCTATAGCCTTTGCCATGGTCAACCACAAATTGTTCATTTCAGTGCTGACAGAATTGGCTAATTTACTGGTTTATTAACTACTTTAATAACAGATCATACTAAGTTTCTGCCCTTCAACCTTGGAGTCCCTCATGGCTCAGTATTTGGTCCTTTAATATTGTTTTATCTACATCAGCACCTGCACTTGCACTGCCATCTAATCACCAGAATTAGCCAAATAACATCTTCAAGTTCATACAGAATGCTTTCGTCCGAGTTGTAATTAACCTCTTTCGTGTCACTAACCTACTCCACAGACACATTTGGGCAGCGCTTAATGGACTGTCTGAGTCTAGTGACTCGTCTTTACTGACCTCATCTAGCACTTAGACATCTGTACTGCATAAACAATGTTTTAGCATTCTTATAATGTGTTGTTCTTCTTGCTGCCCTTGAGATCAAACTTAGCACTTGACTTCTTAATATTCTCGGCCACAGTTTCAGCATTTGCCACTTACGTGATATAGGAGTTCATAATAAGAAGAAAAAGAACTAAAGGTTTATAATACATAAATATAAACACATGTACAATAATAAAAAAAGAATATACAACAAATGAAATCAAAACCCATCACATTATACAATATTCATTAGGGGAAAATATGGCTAGTTAACTTTTTTCGAAGATGAAAATAAAACAAAGATTACTGGAGTACATTTACAAGAAATTACTATTTAGGTCTAAATACTTTTAATCTTTACACATTTAATTCAATGTGTTATTTGCTGATTCTTTGTAATTATTTGTGACATTTTCTAGCCATTTCCAATTAAAATTGTAAATCCTACACCAAATTCTTTTCCGCATACTACCACACAAATGTGTCTTTTCTCAAGCAGAATTTTTGGTATATCTGTATACTTAAAGTGAATTGTAGTTATTTTGATTAACTATATATAATCTATAACTTTAATATTTTTACATTACCTTTTATGCTATTTCATGAAATGTTTCATAATCAATATTAAATGAACTGAATCTGTTTTTCCTGGGCAATAACAGTGGAAATGTTTGATAACTCTAAGTTATGTGCCTTTAAGTGATGTGCCTGTACATAAACTGACTTTCATAAAAATAAACCTACAGAGAAATATTGTTTGAAAACTAGCCCTACAGATAAATAAGAAACGGTGCTTTTTCCATTTATTTTCCCTTTTCCATCAATTCACCCTACTGTGTCAAACACACAACATAAAAATCCCCACACTAATAAAAGACATCAGCAGTAAAACATCACGAAAATGAATCACATGGGCAAGTTGTAAGTCGTTTCCCTTTTCTGCCATCAGGGTGTAAAATGTATGACGTAGAAGAACTGACCCAATTTAGAGAGTGACAGTAAATCAGTCCGTAGTCAGGTGCGTGTGTGTGTGTGTGTTTGTGCCCTTGAGCAGCGATATGCGCACAGATTTTCATCATAACATGAGTATCATGTATGTGTGTCAACAAGTTTTGTGTCAGAGCCAGTGAAAACTCTCTGCTGCACTCCTCGCTCTCTTGCCTCCATCTGTGGGCTGTCGTCGCCATGACAACAATCGGCCTCATGAAAACGACTCACCACACAGGAAATAAATATCTGCTCTAAACAAGAGAACATGAAAGAGAAATATACAAATAGAGAGAGGCTAGAGAGAAGAATGACCAAACAAGTAGTGAGTATGTCTCATTAATGTACAATACAATGGAGTAAAGATTGTGAAGCAATGTTGTACGAAAGCTAACAACACAAAAAATGGGCTCCTGTGAGGAGGTCTATAACATCTGGACAAAGCTAACCGTTAGCATTGCCATTCATCTCAATGGCAGTTGCTCGTCTGAGGCTCACAGGAGGCTTTGGAAGTAAAGTAGCAACCATGGGTCCTGGGGAGGCGCAGGACAATGACAATGTTGAGTCCAAATCAGACTTTTAATCAAATACTTGCGATTTAGACTATGTTTTGTTTGCAAAAATGGATTTAGTCAGAAAACATAGTGGTCGTCAATGGAAAAATATGTTATTTGCCCACTGATCGGTGTAGTTACAGCATCCACCAGCAGGTATATTTGTTAAAACAACAAGACTTAAAATGTATTTTAGACATTTAAACTAAAATAGTTAAGTGCACATCTGATCCGTTTAACCTACAATCTCACAGACGTGCACCATCAGTTCCCAAATGGGTGTGTTAGGGCGGACAGTTTTGATTCCTGACAGAAAGTACGAACAACCCCAAACTGCCAACAGATAGAATGAAAGTGAGAGGATCTGTGTGAAAGAGAGAGAGAGGGAGAGAGAGAGACCCACCAGCATAAAAAATGTGTTACCATGGTGCCCACAACCATAGCAATCTCCAAGCAATCTGCTGTGTTGCCATGGGAACAGTAATCTCGCCCGAGAGAGTGAGGGAGAATGAGAGGAAGAGACATGGAGAGAGAGGTAGCGTCTTTTGTACTTACAGCGAGACGCATGATGCAGCAGAGACCCATTTATCTGTCGCTATAAATACAAACAGATCAATATCGACAAGACAGACAACCAGATTTATCGTATACGACATTTTTCAGTTCTAGCATTGATCAGCCATTAGAAAACTCATCTTCAGATTTACCGTACACCCATACATTTAAAAGCGCAATCATTCAAGGGTCTATGAATGACTTGATCTTAGATTCAAGGGTTTCCTCTCATGTTTAATTTTGGCCCTGACATAACATACTCCTGGCTTGACACTTCGTCATTTCGTGATACTTGTCGTGAGGCTGTGAAATCGCCTCTCAGGTCAACAGGGTACAGCTTTAACAACCATCGAAAACTTGAGGGAGTGTGAGGACTGTATGTGATTTTTTCATTAATGTCTTGTTTGGAGCAGGGGCAATTTCTCAGAGGAGCAAGGGTTGTTATTGTTAACTAAAAGTAAAACATTTATTTAATTAAAAGAAAAGAAAATATAAATGTTACATGAAAAACTTAAACTTAAAGCTGCAGTCCGGCGTTTTTCCTCTTTGTCGCCATCTTAGTTCGAAATCTGCAATTGCAGTCATTCGCAGAATTATCAACTTTACGCGAGTTGTAGTTCAACACCCTCGACACGGCACAGCGCGGATGAACACAGTGTTTGAGGAGAGGGTGCAGCTGTCAGTCACCGCGCCGGTGTGGATATTGCATTCAGAGTCACAGATTCTACTTTTTGGAAGTATGACCAACATAAGAATTTTCACCGGAAAATGTCATCTGAACAAGTAAGAAACATCCACCTTTGTTCTGGTTCTGACATTGCAGTAAATCGCGCTGATTAAATCTAGCAATCGCTTATAAGTTATCATATCACGCAAAACCGCGCAAATTATACTTTGTTCTCAAATTATTAATGTTAACAACGTCAGCATTGCGTGACTACATGTCCTTCCGATAAGTATCCTTGTTTTCGCATTGGGTCCGGTTGCAGTCTCTCTTTTTCTGTAGCCACTCCGAAGTCTGAACGAAGTGTTTTGCATTTTACAGCGGGTGAATCTGTTATCACTGGTGATTGTTGTTTGAACCTTTCTGGATCCGCCATCAAATTGATGTTTAATTATATTAAGTGCTGTGAGAAAAGGCTAAATCTCCACCTCCAGCATCCTCACACGCAATATAGCTTATACTAGCCGAGACTCCTTCTTTATGTGTACAGATGTGACGTAATGACGCAAAGACATGCTCGAATCTCCCGCGGAAATCCACCAGTACCACTGAAATTAAAAACCGTATTACAAGCTTACCGCTTTGAATCAAGTTAAGGCAAGCAGATAGTTTTGAACACTGGCTGGTTATGTATTTTCTCAAATATGTATTTTGGATAATTTTTAACCCAAACGGACTGCAGCTTTAAAGGGGCTAAATGTAGAGTTCAAAGACCCTTGTTGTTAGCGACACCTGTGGCCCTTAAGTGAACTGCAGCTCTATAAACTCACGGCAAAGTTATTTTTCGTTCTTTGCTTAGAAGTAAAAAAAAAAAAAATTGGAAATAAACACCTTTGCAGTGATATACTGTTAACGAACATCCCGACGTTGCTGAGAGCTACGTTTAGATGAATATGTAAATATCTGCTGTGCGCTTTCCTCTCAATAACAAAATATACACACAGCAATGACAGCGGTGAGAAAACAGCAGTTCAGAAAGCATCTGCGATTCACCGGCATCATGACGACAGATGAGTTCATTAAAAAAACACTGTTATGA